TCATATGTGTGTGTGTGTATATGTATATATGTATATATATGTACTCCAGCAAAAGTTTGAAATTGGCACAAGACCAAAGAGGTATCAAGAAGTCCAATGAGAAACTACAAAAGTGATTTCTTCCACCCCAGAACCACACAGAAAGTGAGCTAGAAGCCCATAAACAGGAAAGAGGGATCCCAGTAAAGCCTATACCTCCTAGCCCACTAGTGTAACCAGAGGTGGGCCACAGAAAAGGCTGATGCCCAGGGTGGTAAGAAACCCCCACAGCAGGAAACTTAAAAGCTCAGGGGGAATGAAGACAGTAACTAATGCTGTGTGGCAGCACCCAGAATAGGAAAGCTCCAGAGCCCAGGGACTCTAAGGTCCCTGGCATTTAAGCTGAGATGCCATAAATGGCATTGAAGACTTGGTGATTTTAACCTCCAAGGAGGAACCCTGGAAGGTTCTGCAAAAGAAACTAGGTCCATGAGTGACCAACTACCCCAACCAAAAGCACAGTAGAGTTTGGAGCCTGACTCTAGCATCGAACCCCAATTCAGAGCTAAAACCAGAGAAGTAAACCAAAGACTAGTTATCAAAAATTACTGGGTATCTAGAGACTCTCAAAAGAAGGGAATAACTATAACAATTGCAAGCAGAGATTCAAATAAAAAAAAAAAGATACACGGAAAAGTTATGCAAGGAGGAAAAATATTAAAGTGATAAAAACCTACGCTACAAACTTCAAGATACATAGTGATCAAATTTAACAATTTCGATGACAATACAGTCTACAAGTAACAAAATGAAAGATCTTCAAATAGCACAAGATGCTTCTGTACCCATCAGAAATCACAGATGGGAATGGAATAATGTGTTCTGAAGAGCAAAGGAGCTTAAGGTACAACCCAAGGACATCCCCTGCAAATCTGAGCCTAATCATCAATGAAACAAGATGAACAGTCTATGAAAGAGAACTACGTGAAGTATTCCTAACCACACCCTCCAAAGATGTGAGCAGATAATGTGTGTGTGTGTGTGTGTGTGTTTGTGTACACATCCTCTATATATTCATTCCCACTGAGCATGCACTTAATAAACACTTGTCAAATTTGTTGATTTAACTACCTTTGGATGGAATATAAGTTCCTTGAGTGTAGGAATATTTTTGTCTTTGTATCACCAGGACTTAGCACACTGCCTGGCACATGATAGGTACTTAAGAAACACTTGTTGGGTGACTGATTGATCTGGGACTTGAACTAATATACCAGAAACTGATTATTTCTGGTGACCTTGGAAAGAATGAAAACTTCAAGAAAGAATCGTTGTTCAGTCATTTCAGTTGTGTCCAACTCTCTGTGATCCATTTGGGGTTTTCTTGGCAAAGATACTGGAGTGGTTTGCCATTTCCTTCTCCAGTTCATTTTATAGATGAGGAAACTGGGGCAAATAGGGTTAAATGACTTGCCTAGAATCACACAGCTAGTGTCTGAGTTGTATTTGAACTCAGGAAAATAAGTCTTTCTGACTGTCCCCAAGAAAGAATACTCATCACTTTTTTTTTTGCTTACCCACTCATCTCCGTGCTTCTCTATCCCCTCTCCCCCTCCAAAAAAAAAAAGCCTGAAAAGACACCATGCAATATTGGGAAGCACCCACCCAATCTCAATTTGCTAATCAATAAGGACTCTATCGAAAGCTCTCCTCACAATTCTAAGGACAATTACAGGGTTTTATAAACACATACGATGCTGCCACTATCCTGGTTCTCATCACTTCAAGCCCAGGCCATTTCAACTGCCTGCTGGTTGATCTCCCAACCTCAAGTCCTTTCCCTCTCCGGTACATCTTTCACTCAGCTGTCAAAGTGATCTCCCTTAATCTAAAGTCTGACTAATTCCACCCCCTGCCCTGCCCCTCCAATTCAATCAACTACAGTAACTTCCCATTGCCTTCAGGATTAAACAGAAATGCCTGTTTGGCTTTCAAAGCCCTTCAAACCTGAACCTTCCCACCTTTCCAGTCTTATGTCTTATATCCATCCATGTACCCACTGATCCACCTGCCATTTCTGGACTCTGGACATTTTCACTAGCTCTCCTCCATGCCTGGAACTCTCTCTGTCCTCATCTCTATTCCCTGGCTTACTCCCAGTCTCAGTTAAAGTCCCACTTTCTACCAAAAAGTGTTTCCTTGTCCTCAATCTTAGTGCCTTCCCTCTGAGATTACTTCTAATTTACCCTGTGTATGTGTTGTTTGTACAGAGTACTTTGAACGTTATCTCCCCAATCAGACTGTGAGCTATTTGAGAATAGGAACTTTTTTGCCTTTCTTCATATTTCTAGTGCTTATCAGTGTCTGACACATAGAAGGCATTTTAAATGCTTGCTGACTTGACATACATATCAATAATTAAAAGGCATTTAAATAAATGGCATTCTGATCCCAATGAAGAGGCAGTTCAGCTTTTAACAATGGCAGCTTTTAACAAGGGCAGAGTCTTCATATATAGAAATGTTTTTTTCTTTTCTTCCTTTGGACAAAATTATTCTAAATTTGGACTGAGAAATTAGGAATTGGTGAAAGAGGAGAGCACCTGTCTTTCTTTTCCTGTCCATTTACAAAGTGCTGCACAGTCACTTTCTCATGTAGACCTGGTTGAAAGTCTTATTAATTTTTAAAAACCAACAAAAATTCACATTTATGATAAAAAAAAAGTTAAATCATGTATCTTATTGAAAGAAAAAGAGCAAGGATATATTGTTTTATTTATGCTTCTACTACGTACAGAGATCACTGTACTAGATCCTGAGGTTTTTACAAAGTTTACAAAAGATACAGTGTCTAGTCTCATAGATTCAAATTTTGTCTAAAAGTTTAGATCCCCCAAATCCCTGACTTACCCATTAATGTGGGCACTGCTCACAACCAAATGATTTAATAATTATCTGCTTCAACTAATAACTGTTTTCAGGCATAGAAGCAAAATTCATCTGAAGGGGGAACCCTCCCACCAATGTTTTAAAATGATTTAATTTCTAAAACTGAAACCTACATCTCCATTCTTAAACACATAGTCATGTAATGTCAAACAAGGGAAAATGATTAAATAATTACTGATTAATAATGACTGAAATCACATCTGACTACAATTTAAATCAAATGCACCACAGTCTACAATTCTATTTCCTTTTATTTAGTCCTCTACAAACACTGATCAATATTCCCAATTACAATCCTTCTCGTGTTTGTATATGCACATACATACATATAGAACCGTGAGTATGTATGCATATATGAAGCTGAAGACAATAATTAATTCATCTCTTAGCCTTATTTGGTTTAAACAACTCCAACTCCCTTTATTCTTTATCCCAAAGACCCATTTTACATACTATCATTTTTACTGTCATTTTTATCTGTTTTTCCAGTTTGTACATTTTTAAAAGAGGGAGTGAGACTAAGGCTAGATGGAACTATATTAAAAGTAAAACAGTGTACAGACACATCACAATTTATGCAATAGTTGTTACACTAATCAAGTTTTATATGAATCAATTTTGAATGTATCACAGGAGTCCTAAAGGAAACAAATAATCCTGGTTACTTTATTTGTTTTAAATTCAGATTTTTGCACATCTTCACTGTGGAAAGAAATTCTCTCTTAAAGGTGTTTTTATATATTCTAGATCAGAAGCGGCATTTTCAGATCCTAAAAATTAAAACTTGTTCAATTTACCTTTATAAGGACCCAAGGAGAGGCAGCACAGTAAGTGGAGGGACGTGAGGGAAGCCTTGAAGCTAGAAAGACCTTGGTTAAAGTCCTGCCTCTGGCTTACTAGCTGGATGATAATGGTTAAACCACTGAATTTCTCAGACCATTTTCTAAGATTATAAGTTTCAAACAAGTGGAAGAAGTTTCTGAACTGGGAAAGCTCTATACTGAAGACAAAAAAAGGACCTAAGACAACAACCTGATAGAACATAGTAATGGCCTGTAGAAGTGTTGTATTAAATGACAACGTTCCTGAAATCCAAATGGTTTTAAGCACTTTTTTTAATCTTCTCAAGTTTCCCAACTCTTATGTCTTTTTAGCTAATTCTACTAGCTAACAGATACTTAGAAATTTATGAATAAGTAATATCTTTACCGAGAAAACAAGATCAAAAGCTTCATTTGCCATAATTGTAAGTAATATAAAAAGTATGAAGATGAAGCCATTCCTACTGAATTTTGGCATTCCCCCCATCTTCTATATGAAAAAAGAACCGTAACTCCCCAGTTATCTTAGGATAAAAAGAAAATATTTTACAATTTCATGGAGTACTTCCATTGCTTGTGATCAGGTGGCTAGCATGGAGCTCCCTTCTAGGAGTGATCTAGACCTAAGACATTTCTGTTGTCTCCTCTCCTCAAACACTGTTAAGCAAAGGCTTGTATCTAGAGGCTGTATCACAGTAGTGCCTCCTGACCCACCCCCCTTTAAATACCTGGACTTAAGAGATTTATTCAACCCTTAAAATAAGGCTTCAGTTGCCAGTGTTAGGGCAAGAGGGGGCACAGATCAACCCAGATAAACCCTATATCTGGATAGCTGGTGTCCCAGAAAAGAACTGAAGGCAGATGGATCCAGAAAAAGGAAGGCCCAGCTTCTGTAACTTTCAGCTGAACCATACCCTCTGGTTCTAAAAAGGCCAGACCAACAAGTGAGTGAAGAAATGAAGTTAAACTACACCAACACATACATAATTACACACTAACATTTATATTTTCAAGCACATGTACAAGAGGCTCAAACTGAGGTCTGGTAAGAGACAGCAATTTAAATGCATATGTATATATGTATCTGGTGGTGAAGAATGGGGTAAGGGCAGGAAGATAAAGAGAAGGGAAAGAAACATGGTTCTGGGTTCTAGAAAATGTGGCGTATTTTTTCTAAAAACAACATTATTTCCCATTGTAAAACATGAATACTTGCAAAAAAAAAACATTTATTTAACAGGTGTACTCTTACCTGTCCCGAGATCAAAGAGCTGATTGGCTTCCAAGTCTGTAAAAGTACTAAAGCAAATGGGACATTTGAAAGATGCCCGATTAGTGGAATCTCTTTCATCAGTTTCAATCCTCCTCCTCATGTGGTCTAGCTTATATTTCACCACATTAACTAAAAGACGATAATTTATAAAGTAGTAATTATGGCGAGTAGTCTTGCCATCTGCAGCAGTCTCTACTCTCATTCTGCATTTGATGAACTTGTCACCCTTCAAGTTGTTCAGAACTGATCGGAGTTGTTTCCTGTCAAACTTCAGCAGCTCCAACATGTCTTCCTCCTTCACACAGGGGTTTCGGATCAGGATGTCCAAGGCCAGAGCATGTTCGATGCCATAAAAGCCCCGTACCACATATTTAGCAAGTCTTTTCAAAGATGCTGGAACCTCTGTAAGGACGTCTGGGTCAGTCATTTTATGCAGAATACCAACACTTTTCATATATCCTGTATTAAGAAGAAAAAAATTAATCCAGGCATAAGGATAATTTAATTGATTTAATTTAGGAATAATCAATTGTTGATCTATTGGCATATAAAAGAAAGGAAGGTGGTAATTAAACATGTCCAAAGGCATAAAAAATCTTTTAGCCATCTCAAATTACACTACTCATAAATAGAATTTGTTAAAAGACCACCATTAAAATAATTGTGGCTCATGCATTAACATCTGCTACAAAGAACAAAATAGAGAAATCCCATAAAGGCCTTGAAGAAAGTCTCTAAATAAAATATATACTTCCATACTCAATATTAAACTAAGTATTACATTTTAAACCAGGTAATTTCAATGCAAATCTGGGAGTAGGAAAAGACAAGGACAAAGAAATGAGAGAGATCAAAAGTTTGAAATTATAAAGAGAGTAGAAAGGGGGTTTCATTCCCCTCCCTACCAAATGAAATTAAATACTTATTATAACATTTTGATAGAAAATTTTTTGTTATTAATATTGGGTTATTTCTGAATCTGCTGTCTAGAAGCATAATGAATACAGCACTGGACTTACAGTCTGAAAGACCTGAGTTCAAATCTCTTTTCAGACAATTTACTAGCTGTGTGACCCTGGGTAAATCACTTAATCTCCCGAAGCCTAAAGTTCCTAATCTGGAAGACAGGGATAACAATACCTACCTCAGGGTTGCTTGACGATCAAATAATATAATACATGTAAAGCATTTTGCAAACCTTAAAGCACTATATAGAATATAGCTATTACTGTTAATACATTCAGACTACTAACTTGTTAAAGCCTACAGATCAAAATCTATACCAAACTAGAATAAAAATAAGACTGTTCTATTAACACAACTACAACCTGACCTATTTAAAGAAACTATTGATAATCAAAAGTGAAAAATGGAATAAAGAAGAAACATCAACCCAGATTATCATCATTTTCTATGAAAGTCCAACTGATGTAAAGTATCACGAGGTAAACCAAATGCTGTGACTACTGAAACCAAAAGAACCTATTAACTTCACTAATCAAATATTTTATTTTCTTGCCAAGTGGAAAGAGATGCTAGCCAAGAGCAAAGTTATTTTAGAGTATCTTAGATGATGGACCAGGAAGAATAATACTGTCTTTTAAAAAGTGAGACACAGTATACAGAAATACAAGTTTATAGAAAGGTTGGTAAGAGACCCAAATAAGCAAAACTACTTAGAATATTTAAGGATGAAACTAGACTGAGGAAAAATGGAACACACACACTGAAAATTCTTATAACAAATGCTTTTCACCACAAATGGGAGTGGAGCCTGTATATTTGAACTCTTAACATCACAGTCTCTGAAGTGGTGCATGAAGAAATAGAAATGGCACTGAAGAAAACAGATGAGAAGAACAGCTAGTCTAGATCAAGGATACCCAAAGGAGTTTATGGCTGGAGGCAACACAATTTTGAGGTCACTGAGGAATAATAGACTCTTGAAGCATGGAAAAAGGGGGGAATACCAAAGACTCAGGAAAAAATATTTGGAACATATTATCTACAAAAGGCAACTGGGAAAATATCAACTGAGATCTACTTTTCCACATCTACAAAAATTTTGAGACCATAATCTACACGTGCAACAAGGAATAGTTTTTCTTTTTGTACAGCAAACAAATGATACCGTCTGCTTATAAAATTTGAATAAGTTTATGCTTTTAACATAATCAAAGCTAGTACTCATTCCAACATGCCAAACGAAGGTAAGTACCCATGAGCAAAATAGTAAAATAAAACAAGACAATATAAGATAACTAAGAGCTAAATTACAGGGCATAAACTATAAGTAGTTTGGGAGTTTATAGGAAAGGGGGCTCATTGCATCCTAGAACAAATCAAGGAAGGCATTATAGAAGAGCTACAACTTGAGCTAAGTCTTGAATGTTATTGGAGAATACACCTGAATAAGGATTAGAAAATCCACCCCCTAACTCTTCTCATGAAATCCTGAGGGAAGAAATACAAAGTCAATTCCTTTCTGGGAACTTGGCTCATTAGTGTGAGAGGAAGTCAAGGGGGATGGTGGAGGTAGACAGTTACGGTGTTATCTCAATTGCAACAGCACTTTCCAATACATTAACAAGCTAAGACTCCTCATTATCCTCTAAGCATACCATGCTTTTTCACCTTATTTACAGCTTTGGCTCGTAAGTTCTCTTCATCCAGAATGTCTATTCGCCTCTGTCTAAATCTAGGTCAATTTTTCAAGGCCCAGCTCAAGTGAAAGCCTCCCCTGTCCATTTTTCTCCCCTAGGAGACTAGTGGCAACACACACACATATGAGTAAAATAGATTTTCTTAAAAAGTCAATTGATTCTCAAGCATATTATTTTCATGTCAATGGATTATTAAAAGTTTACTTTATTTCCATTAGTCTCTGAGACAATCCAGGAGGAAATAATGGAGGACCTGAGTTCAAATCTGACTCAGACACTTACTAGCTATGTAACTATTGGCAAGTCACATAATCCTGACTGCCTTAAAAAAATTTTTTTAGATAAAAAAACTTTAATCTAAAATCTTTCTCATCTAAATTTGTCATCCTATGAAAATCCCTCTTTCTCACCAAGTATCTTCCTTTAAAGCAGTATTTTAATTATGCATTCAGAACCTAGCACTGTAGGCAGTAAGGCATGAACTAAACACTGGTGTTCACTTAGAACTTACTCATTCTATGCCATCAAGGGATCCTGGCCTCCTGGCTGTTCCTCCCATGGAGCAACTCCATCTCCCTATTTGCTGTGTTTTCACAGTGTGTCCCCTATCCTGGAACTCTTTGTCTCCTCACCTCCGACTCCTAGATTCCTTGGCTTCCTTCGGGTCTCAGCTCAGGTCCCTCATTCTGCAACAAAGAAGCCTCTCCAGGGTCTCCTTAATCTTGGTTCTTTCTCTGAGATCATTCTTAATTTATCCTAGCTATAATCTTGTTTGTACACAGCTGTTTGCACATTGCCCTCAGATAAATAGTGAGCTTCTTGAGGGCAGGGACCTCCTCTTACCTTTCTCTGTATTCCCGCTCAGGGCTTAACATAGTGCCTGGCACAAAACAGGTGTTTAATAAATAAAATATTGACCTGTTCCTTCTAATAATTTGTCAGTTTAAGGAGTATTTACTTATGAGGCTCCCACAATGTGCCAGGAACTGTGCTAAGCGCTAGGGATGCCAAGAAAGGCCAAAAAACAAAAGGCCACTCTTGAGATAAGTCTAATTTAACGCTTTGTGGAGTGGAAACCACTAAAACTTTACCTGGCCCAACTTTTTCGAACTATTGGGGACTAAACCAAGACCCCAGCCCCAGGTGGGCTTCTTTATCTTCCTCTCTTTCCACACATAATAGGGTCGCCTCCAGCAAGGCCTCGCGGCCCGGCCAGAAGTGGAAGCCCCCAGAGCTCAATGACTTCAATGAGACCCCCGGGCAAGGCACCCTTCTCCTCTGGGAGCCCCAGTTTCCTCACTTGTTAACTCAGGGAGCTGGGCCAACGCTTCGCATGGTGCCTGGCCCCTAGCAGGCCCCTGATACGTGCTCGTGGCCTCGCCGAGACGAGCTCCGAGGCTCCCCCCCGGCTCTTCCGGCTCGCTTGGGCCCTGAGGCCCCGGGGCACGCAGGTGAGCCCAAGCAGAGAATGGCGCCCGAGGGGGAACGAAGGGCCCAGGGAAGAAATCCGGTGGCAGGGAAAAGACCAAGACCTAAGAGGCACCACGGCGTGAGGGGAGGAAGGGAAAGCCTGGTGCCGCAGAGAAACCGGGGCTCGGGGAGCCCCACTCACCAGAGACAGGCGGCAGAAGCCGGGAGCCCCACGCTCAGCAGGCGAAGCAGGGGTCGTCCACAACAAAATACATCACCAGCGCGACGCTGCCGCGCAACCCCGCTTCCGCCTCTAGCCCCGCCCCCCCTCTGCCTCGGACTGGCGGTCTCTTCCTCCCAGGAAACACTGCTTGTAAGAATACATCTAACCAATCAATGCTGCAAAAAAAAGTCCTATTCCCATTAGCCAATGAAATAGCGGAGAAGGAGGGTATGGGGCGGTACCGTGTTCAAACAAGCTCTGTGATTAGCAGGTTCTCTATCAACCTGCCCTAGACCGGGAAGGGCTTGTTATTAACCAGTGGCGGCAAGATGGCGTCGCTGGACAGAGTGAAGGTGCTGGTGTTGGGGGATTCAGGTGAGTGGCCTGATTTTGTTCTCTGCTCTCGACCACGTCGTGGTTCCCGAAGCTCGATTCCTTCGTCATGGCTTCTCTTCCCGCCTTTAAGCTTTTCGGCTGGAGCCAGAAGCTCTGTGGGATCGGAAAACTACATTTCCCAGCGGGCCTAGCTAGGGAGATGACTTGTGTGGGCGGGGCTCCCTCTTTCCGACCTCCCAAGTTTTTGGTCGACCCCTAGTTGTGCCTTGTTTCTCCAGGCTTTTTGGTTTCTTTCCTGTAAAGCTAGGTGAACACTTATGGAGGTGTTGTTGGGAGCGGAGGGTCTACACCGCTGGTATTAGTAGCTACACCAGTGATAGCATAAAACCATCAAAATACGAAAGTCTGTACCCACAGTTAAGCTTTGCACCGTGCTTAATCCATCAGTCAACATTTATTAACCGCCTACTATGTGCCAGGCACTGTGCTAAGCGCTGGGGATACAAAAAAAGGCAAAAGACAGCCCCTGCCCTCAAGGAGCCTACAATCAATCTAATGAGAGAAACAACATGCAAATATCTATATATATATATGTATATGTATATGTGTGTATATATATGTATATATATACAAAGCAAGTTATATACAGGATAAATAGTAAATAATTAAGAGGGGAAAGGCACTGGAATTAAAAGGGGATGGAGAAGGCATCTTGTGTAGGAGGTAAGATTTTAATAGGTACTTAAAGGAAGCCAGGGAGGTCAGTAGTTGGAGTGGAGGAGAGAATTTGCCACTTTATACCTGAATTTGTGCTGGTATAATCTGATTTTGTAGGTTCTGCAAAGCAAACAAACAAAAAATCTTAATTAAGAATTCAGAAACCATTCTTAGCTTGCTGTCTAGGGCTCGGTCAACTGGATCTGGCCTGTGAATTGTAGTTTGCAGACCCTTGTGTTGGGAAAGGGAGCTTTAAATCGCAAAATAAATTTCACATCAAGTGTTATCAATCTCCAAAAACACCACTAAAATTCACACTTTACATTGCCCTGCTGTTTTTTGCCTCTGTCCTATTGACCCAGCAAGACTGTGTTTTAACACCACTTCAATTCACATGTTCTCCACAGTTTTATTTTTAAGTCACCTACCCAAACCAAGCACTTGATTCTCTATTCCATTAATCACCTGGCAAACACAGTTCCAAACTAGCATGGAAAAAGGCATTACATTGATTAAGCCTGGATTCAAAGCCTTAATTCGACCTTTGGCAAGATTCTTGGCCTCAGTTCCTTCATCTGTAAAACAGAGTATTGATAAATGAAGGGAGTCAGTATGGTTCAGTGGAAAGAACATATTGGCTTTGCAGTCAAGAGGACCTGCTTTCAAATCCCACTTCAGAAGCCTGTGTGGCGTTGAGCAAGTCTCTCAACTTTCCTAGACTCAGTTTTCTCATCTGTAAGATGACAAGGTTAGTCTCTGCAACCCCTATTGCTGTGATCCCATGACTCCCGAAGGCCTTTCCAGCTCTAAATCTGTGATCCATCTGGTTTTATAAATTAAATTTTTTTATATTTTACCCACAAAAAGCTTTCTGCTAAAAAAACAAACAAACTAATTTTAGCTTACCTCTCTCACTCTCTCTTACTATTCTTATAGAATAGCTTTTCCATGTTCAAGAGATTCTGGATTTGTATCTACTCAAAGTAAAAACCCAGAAGCCTCTCCTGATGCATCTATTTTTTCTCTAGTTAGCCTGAAGACTTTGAAGGAAATGCACTTAATAAAATAATGTAGTAAGAACATTTACAATATAGTAAGAACATTTCCCCCACCCTCTTTCCCCAATAAGGCCAACACATATACTCTCCCACTCATATATACATTATCAGTGGAGAGAGAGAGAGAGAGAGAGAGAGAGAGATCATGTTTGAGGAGCCCACACGTGAGGAATACATATTGGGGGGACAACTTACATTTCTATGGGCTTCTGATGTATTCTGATCACGTCCTTTGGTGCTTCTGACAGAGTTGGTGTTGGTTCACTGGGCTTACTGCCCCTACTCCTCCCTGGATACCGCATCTCTGCTGGACTCTATCAGATGCTGTTTGACTTCAGTCTTCACTACTTTCAGCTTCTGGCACAGCCCGTGGATACTGCTGTGCTTTTTGAAGAAAGAGCAGAAACCATGATATTAGAAAACCTCCCCCATCCTGCTTCTTTAGAATATCAAACCTGAGGCTTATTTTCTCTCAAGCAGGAGATTCCCAGCCTCATGTGCTAAGCTCAGGAACAATAAACAGCATCATCCCAGCTAAGCAAATGGTTTTAGATCTTTTCCTTCTCTTTAACCATTCCCAGCCCTCTTCCTGGTAGAGGGCTGGGTGTTCTTAGAATACACTTCCCTAGTATTCATCTCTGCAGGCTAGGCTATAAACCATATAAAAACCATAGGATCATAGAATTATAGCTTTAGCCCTGGAAGGTCCCTTAACAGGATATCTTTGCCTGATAATTGTCAGATCGCTCTGAGGTTTGGAGTTCCCCGGTTTTTTAAACTCTGTTTCTCCCTTTTGCCTATTTGGATGAGTGGATGGAGAAAAGGTATAGAGACAGTCTGCACCCAGTGGACAAGTTCATTGTCTGTGCTAAATCACTTAGTGTTTGAAAACCTTACATGTAGTTCACTGACTGTCACCTGCTCTTGCAAATACAGCCTCTCTGGGGCATTTGTCCACACCTGTGTTTGAACTGCTTGTTCCTCAGCTTCAGTCAACTTTGTGCAAAGTGAATTTTACAGGCTAAACAGCTTCAGTCATGTACATTTTACTTGCCAGTTTACTATCCCTTAAGTTCATCACAGTTTATCACTTCAGCTTTGATTGGTCAAGTTCTGGCTTCTCAGCTTCTCTCCTCTTTTCAGAGACATGGAAGAGAAGGGGGAAGAAAAAGGCTAGATGTTGGTCAGGGAAGAGGGCAGATTTTTTGAAGGTTAAAAGTATCTTGCTCATAAAGGTTGTCAGGAAGGGTTGGGATAGTCAGATGGATTACAAGTTCCCTCACAGAAAGAGGAGGTTGGAATTGGTTTGAGGGGAAGCGTGATAGGCTCACAATATCTTGTTCTCTTCTCCAACAATCCTTCAGGCTGGGGCTGACTGTGGAGAGAGAAGGAAGAGGAAGAGGAGAAATTCGATTAAAGGCTTGACTTTAAAGACTAAAAAACTTGACTCAGTGTTGGGGAAAAAGAGAAAGCTGACCTAAAAGCTGGCCCGAATGTGGACACAAGCTTTTCCTTCTGGTCAGAGGGTATAATGGTGAAAGGGTGGTTATGTCAGGGTCAACAGAACTCCTATTTGTTCCATGATTCCTGGTTTCTGGAGTTCAGTACCCTGTTCATAAGGTATATAAGGGCGTATTTGCTATTTTGGATTTTTGTAACTACAAAGAGTAAATGTAAGTGAATTGATATGGTTTGCTATAATGAATAAGTGAATAAGCATTTATAAAGTGCTTACTATGGGCAAAGCACTATGCTGAACTCTGAGGCTACAGACAGAAAAGATAGTACTCGTTCTCAAGGAGCTCACATCCTAATAGGAGATACACATACATACATACATACACACACATATGTATATATGTATATACACATGCACACACATAGGTGGGGTTTCATATGCAAATGTCAACAAAGTCACATGAAGAAGCCCACTGGTCTTTAGGGTAAACCAACAAAGTAGATGGTAATGCATCTTTTTAAATACTATTTCCATTGATAAAAACCATATATGTATCTGATGTTAAACCATTTGACAGTGCCAAGGACTTCTGTGATTAGGACTTTGTTTTCTGGAGCTTCAGTAGCTGTAGATGCTGAGGAGAGAGCTGCTGCACCTGAAGAGACAGTTGCTAGGTTGTGTCTCCACGGGGGTTAATTAACTGCATGCTGGCTTTGTGAACCAGGCTAGAAGTGGGGCTGGTGGTCTGGAGGGTGGAGCTGAGAAACACTGCCCTTCCTGGGGTTCTTAGCTTACTAGCTTATCAGTGGCAGTGTTGGTGATGGTGGGATTAATGGGCTTCTTTTCCACAAGGTGTGCATCCCTTGATGATGACTGCAGCAACCTGGCTGGTGGTCTGGGGGGCCCTGCTTTCCTGGGACTAGAGAATCTGTGATATATAAATAGCTATGTTGGTAATTGGAGGCACTTTTGCCTTCAACATTAGTGGGTCCCCTTAGCTGGGTTTGATTCACCAGTAAGAACCTGTCAATTGAAAGTGGTAGGTCAGGAGTGGTGGCATATGCTTATAATCCTTGCTACCAGGGAGGCAGCTGAGGTTGATAGATCTTTGTGTTCAGAACTGCAGTGGAGGAGCAGCTAGGTGGCGCAGTGGATAGAGTACTTGCCCTGAAGTCAGGAGGACCTGAGTTCAAATGTGACCTCAGACCAAACACTTGACACTTACTAGTTGTGTGACCCTGGGCAAGTCACTTAACCCCAATTGCCTAAAAAACAAAACAAAAACAAAAAAAA